TCTCCCATCTCCAGCTGCCTTTCAGATATCTCGAACTGAATAACCTGCAGGCATCTAAACTCAGCGTGTCCACAGAAGACAGCATTGTCTTTCTCACTAATCTCTCCCCCCTCCTACCTTCCCTGTGAGTGTGGAAGGCACCAGCATCCTCCCAGTGCCTCAGGTTTACAATCTGGGCCTCATCCCTGACTCCTCACTGTTTCTCCCTGCCCCATATTCAAGCTGTTGCCAAGGCCTGTTGATTTCACCTGCTCAGCGTCTCTCAGATATGCTTCCTTCTCACCTCTTCCGCTACCTCCACCCTCAGCACCTCATGCCTAGACTCTTACAATAGTCTCATGATAGGTCTGCCAGCTTCAAGTCTCTCCCCCACTTCAGTTCTTCCACCACTCAGCAGCCAAAGTGATTTTTCTAAAGTACAGGTCTCATCAGGCCACACACCCTTCCCCGCCCCCCAGTAAATTTCGGCAGCTCCCTGTGGCCGCCAGGATCAAATACAAAATCCTGTGTTTGGTGTTGAAAACCCTTTCTAATCCAGTCCCCCGCCTACCTTTCCAGTCTTCCTACACCTTACTCCCCAACACATATGCTTTGGTCCAGTTACAGAGGCCTCTTGGCTGTTCTACAAACAAGACCCTCCATCTCTCACCCTGGGCACTTTCTGTCTATACCCCAGGCCTGGAACGTTCTCCCTTCTCCGCTCCAACTACTGACCTCCTTGGCTTCCTTTGAGTACCGACTAAAATGGCACCTTCTACAGGAAGCCTCTCCCTTCCTTCTGTTAATTATTTCCTATTTATCTTGTGTATAGCTTGATTTGTATTTGTTTGCACGTTGTCTCCATCATTGGATCATGAGCTCCTTGAGGGCAAGGAATGTTTTTGGACTTTTTTGTATCCCCAGCACTTAACACGGTGCCTGGCACATAGTAGGCACTTAATAAATATCTATTGACTGATGGATTGTTTGGTCCCAGAGGGCAGAACCAGAAGGAAAGGGTAGAAGTTGCATAGGGGTACATTTCAGCTTGATGTCAGAAAAAACTTGCTAACTATGTGAGCTGTCCAAATTGCACTGAGCTGCCTCTCCAGGCCTGAAGGTCGCCAAGCTGGAGGACCACTTATCAGACATGATGTAGTGGGGATTCCTTCATGTCTGGCTTAGACCCGGCTGCTAAGGGCCTTTTCAGCTCTGAAATGTACTCCCAGCCTGCCATAGGGGAGAGATCCTTGAAGTCAGGAAGACCTGGGTTCAAATCCTCACTCAGGCACAAAAGTGGGAGATGCTGGATAGCATGTGAGGGATTGCAAGAAGTCCAGTTGGCCTGGGGTTCCCACGAAGCAACATTGCGTAAACTCTAAAGAACTGTATAAATGAGAGTGGTTAGTAGGAGGGCAGCATGCGGTGGAAGAGGAGCTGGCCTCGACGCCAGGAGGACCTGAGTGCAAGCCCAGCCATGCTGGCGGCCTAAGGACTGTTAGGCCCAATGCCGTACCCTCCGTGAGGGGCCAGCCGTGCTGGAGGTCTTCAGGGGTGTTTGAGTGGGGCTCTCTAGGCCAGCAGAGGGGTGGAGACAATAGCCATACCCAAAAAGAATAAGGAAGACTGGGCTATCATTGGAAACCTACTGGATGCAGCGTTGACTTTGACTGCATACACAGACCATCTTGTCAGCAGTCATTGGAAAAGACTTGTTCTGTTAAGAATACGTTTATATTGGAAGCAGCAGCGACCATTGGCACTGTCCTTGTGTTGAGTCACAAATCTTGACCTGTATGTTTATAAGCCTGTTGGGGTCACTTGACCCTTGCTTTATTTGTGTTAAGAGTGTGAACGTTGTCTAACATGTTTTGTCACTTTGAGAGTTACTAGAGGAAGCATTTCTGAGCAGAAGTTGTTTAAGTTTTTCAAGGGGAAAATCAGTTTGGGAATATAAACTATGAGTGAATTAATAAATATTTTCATTCAAATCTTGGACCTAGTGATAACAGTTGAGTGTGGACTGAACCTGGAGTCAGAGCACGTACCTCCCCTGTGCCTCAGTTCCCTTAGCTGGCCCCTTTCAGCTCCTATCACCTCGGCAGCCGTGTGCCTGAAACGAATCCTGAATTATGTAGGTTGTATGTGTTAAGGTCAGGAGGAAACTAACCATGTGTTAGATCTGAGAATGGTGATCACTGGGGCTGACGTCCCAGCAGGAGGCAGCCTTAGAAGCCCCTTTCCTTCTCTCGCAGGTCAGAGTCAGCAAGAGGATCTGAGGATGGAAGTATCCCTAGAGAATGTCTGTCTGTGTTTGGGAGAGTTGGGTTTTAGGGACAGAGGACTAGGTGAGGAACCAGAAGTCCTTCAGGCCTGCTTAGAGTAAGGACAGAGTCATTCCAATGTTTGGGGAAGGTCTCTGAACCTTCCCACACCTTAGCATCCTGGTCAGCAAAATGAGGGTCATGACCCATCTGAAGTAATATTTTCTTTCATTCTTTCTTTCTTTCTTCCTTTCTTTCTTTCTTTTTTTTTTGGTGAGGCAATTTGGGTTAAGTGACTTGCCCAGGGCCACACAGCTAGTGAATATCATGTGTCTGAGGCCGGATTTGAACTCAGGTCCTCCTGACTCCAGGGTCGGTGCTCTATCCACTGCACCACCTAGCTGCCCCCTGAAGTAACATTTTCTTACAGGAGATAACTAAGCTAACAACATTGTTGTCGGCTTTAGGATAGGATTAGTCTGTATGTCAGTAGTCCCCCATACACATACATACATAAATACATGTACATACATGTAAAGCAGAGGCAGCCTGAGAAAGTTTAGGCCCTGCCTCTGACCTGGCCTGGCTGTGAGTCCGTGAAAGTCTCTTCACCGCTGAGGGCTCTGAGCTGCAGGGTTTCCTAGGAGTTTTCTTCATCGAGGAGTTTTCTAGACCAGTGATGACACAGGTGTAGTCCCCATGCCCTGTAAATATAATAAAGGTTTGTTGGAAAGGGTATTATTATAAATCAGGATTAAGGGGAGCCAGAGTGTCCCCAAAGAAGAAGAAGAAAATCTGAAGTTAGCAAATATTAATGCTTTTATCCCCAGAAACCTAAAATCCTCTTTGGTAGCAAACTTGCTGCTGGTCTGATCGGGGTTTGGAGAAGCCGTCAAGTGGATGCTTCGACTAGAAGCTGGAGATCTTTGATCTCATTCCTCGCCTTTAATTCGTGTCCTCCCCCCCACCCAGTTTCATATGATCATAGCTGTAGGATTGGAAGGGGCTCAGGAACCATCTAATCCGATACTCCTCACTTCACAGATAAAGAAACTGAGGCCTATGGAAGGTAAATGACTTGTCCAAGGTCACACAGGTCAAGAGTCAGAGGTAGGATTTGAGCCCAGGTCCTCTGACTGAAGTCAGCTACCTCATGCATTGAAGGTATATCCAAGTACTCACACTTCCTGATACGTTTCAAAGTGTAAAAGGAGAATGTAGTTATCATTGTCTGTAATGTGAGCCACTCCTCAGCATCCCCCTGGGGCTGTAGGCTTTAAGGCCCAAGGCCTTCAGAAGGGAGAATGGTTAGGGCTTATCCAAAACACGAAGGCCTCACTTACTCTGAAAAAGGCCGTGGCATGAAGCAGCGGCAGCACGTGGGGCGGAGACGTGACCCCTGCGTGGGAAAGCTGCTTTTAGAGGTCCTGGCCCCTTCCCTGGCCTCACAGTCAACTTTGGGGCTAGTGCTGACCCACTGAGAGGAGACTTATCCACCCACTGAGCTGCACCCCAGGATGCCGCCTCCTCCTGAAACACACGCTGCTACAGAAACCTCCCATTTTCACCTTAGCCAGGCCTCGCTTAATCAGCTGCTTTCCTGAGCATTATTCAGTGACTTGTTCAGATACGTTGGTTTTTTTTAACGTCAGACAGAAATAGATGCTGACGGCCCTAGGGTGATGCCAAACCGAGAGTCGCCAGTGGTTATGAATAGCATTTTACTACAGGCTGACATCTTGTTTTTAGAGTTTCCGTATCACAGCAGAAGCAGCAGAAAGGGGAGACCGAGACCATGTCCCTTGTGCGTGGGCAACCTTTTCCCATGAACCTGGAAAACTTCACATGCTGCCTTAAAAATAGCATGTGCTCCTGTGGCCTTGGCCGGCCCGCCCTGCGTGCATCCCTGGTGTCCACTGCAGAGAGGAGGTGCCACTGGCCTGCTGCTGAGCCCTTCCATGTGAAGCTTTTGGATAATCTGCAGTGGAAAGTTGGCGTATAAATTTAGAAGTTCTCTGCCGGGGATTCTTGGCTGCCTTCCCCAGCAAAGCAAGAAGCTGAACTAAGGGGACCGAGGAGGGGGACTGTGTCGGTCAGGTTCACACACTGAGCTTTTCTCTTCACTGTGTTTATGTCGCACCATCTCTTACTGCCTTGAGTGCTCCTGGTGAGGAAATGTAAGCATAAAAAGGTGGCTTCACCAGGGTGACAGAGCCAGCCCTAGGACAGCCTGGCTCTTTACTTCCCCGTCAGAGAGTCTGACCCTCAAGGTTAGCCCAAGAGATGCCACAAACTTGGTTGAGAATGCAGCTAGTGTTTCAGTTTGGTTGGTTTTTCCATTACCTTTTCATGTGAGAAACAAATTACATATTTGTGAAGTGCTTAGCAAATGGTCACAGAATCACATTTTCAGGAACTCCTTGTTTCAGGGTCTACCTGTAGCTAAATTGTGGTACGTGAACAGCGTAGCCATGATCTCTCTAGATACACAGGAGCATGCCAGCTATATCAAAGAATCCAGCTCAGAGCTATCGCCTGGAGTATCCACTGACTTCTGGTGTCTGGTTTTTTTGTTTTTTGTTTTTCCAAAGCTACTGTCCTGTTTGAAAGACAGTCACATCTGAGGGAGATGCGATGGGCCCCAACAGGTGTGAGGCCCTGGAGGGTATCACATAACCCCTGGCCTGGGCTTGGCTGTTTCACGTGCTGGAGTGTTTCTAGCAATAGATTTCTCTCACTCGGGAATGTTTCTTTCAGATCTGTGCAGTTTGTTTAGAAGATTTCAAGCCCAAAGATGAGTTGGGGATCTGTCCGTGTAAGCATGCCTTCCACAGGAAGTAAGTATGGAGGTATTTCAGCGTCACGGTGTATTTACTGGCTTTCACTGGTGACAGGATATACTGTTGTTCAATTTGAAATTAAGGTCCTGTATGGAATAGGTCCAAATGCTTCTATGTATCCCCTCCACCCTAAAGGCATTGGCCGAGATCAAACACATTGCCTTGGTTGCCCCCTTTTAATTAGAGCTGTGTGTCCTAAATCCCAGCAAACTCGTTTACTGTTAGAACCATCTTCATGGAGAACAATGTGGCATTTAGAAGCAGGAAAATAACCCAGATTGACTAGCTCACTCAGTCTGGCCTCTAGTGACAAGACTTTTGTCTTCATTGATTATTTCCTGCACTTGGAAAGGAAAGGTTCCCAGTTGATAGTATTCTTCCCAGTTAGGGTGCAAAGTCAAGCTTATAGTATGAGAGTGGAAAGAAAATATGTATTGGTCATTCTCCAGGAGCAGGTAATCAATCTAGCCACTTATATACCTCTGCCCTGGTTGGAGCCAGACCAGCAGAAAAACCATGTCACTGGAGCTTTCTATTTTGAGGTCATATCTCCTAAAATAATCTTATAGTCAGAGTGTGCTACACAATATGATTTAAAATCAGAATCTGGAGTTTTGCTTGGCAAGATAGAATCATTTTCTTGCTGTCTTCCTTTCTTTCCTGGAAGCATCTTCCTGAGGTCCCTTGTATTAGCCCTAATAAAACTGCATTTGCTCCATTTTTCTATAAGAAGAGTTAATTCTCCTGCTTTCCCACTTTCCAAGACTACATATTCCTTTAAGTAATATTGAGTGACAGAATACCACCAGCAGAATATGGATTTTCACTAGAAGAGGTCCAGGGAAGGTGAGCTCTTAGGGGCTTACTTACTGTCTGTGTAATGTAGCAGCCCAGGGCCTGTTGCTGGGGAAGCCACATAGAATGTAGGGAGCTGACCTTGACCCCAGACTGAGGCCTTGAGAAATCCTACTCTTCAGAAGGGGCAAGGTCGAGGTTTGGTTGTTACCTGTCGTAGTCCAATGAGCCAAGACTCACACATTGCTTATTATTCTCTTCAGTGTGAATACTGTAAGTAATAGATGTATGTGGATTTTTAAGGGTGTTACCTGGACATAAAGGAAAAGACACCCTCCAGAAATGGGCAGTGAGGGGCAGCTCGGTGGCACAGTGGATAGAGCTCCGGCCCTGGAGTCAGGAGGACCTGAGTTCAAATCCGGCCTCAGACACATGATATTCACTAGCTGTGTGGCCCTGGGCAAGTCACTTAACCCCAATTGCCTCACAAAAAAAAAAAAAGAAAGAAAGAAAGAAAAGAAAGAAAGAAAGAAAGAAAGAAAGAAAGAAAGAAAGAAAGAAAGAAAGAAAGAAAGAAAGAAAGAAAGAAAGAAAGAAAGAAAGAAAGAAAGAAAAGAAAGAGAGAGAGAGAGAGAGAGAGAGAGAGAGAGAGAGAGAGAGAGAGAAAGAGAGAAAGAGAGAAAGAGAGAAAGAGAGAAAGAGAGAAAGAAAGAAAGAAAGAAAGAAAGAAAGAAAGAAAGAAAGA